CTCATGTTAACAAATCTGATTTTTATAACACACGGTGGTCAAAACTGAAGTATAGGACGAACAAAAATGCCAACCAAAACTGATAGCATAATCTGATTATAGACTCTTTTGGTAACACAAAATAGTTATTTATGTCATTAGGTTAAGAAGTAAGGCTTTTTGTGCTAAGCTCAAAGTTTGAAGGCCGACGCGTAGCGGAGGCCTACAATTGAGCGAAGCACAAAAAGACACTTCTTGGCCGAATGGCATACAACATTTTATCTTCAAAGCACTTTATATAGGTCAATTTAATTCAACATGAAAGCGGCCTAACCTCACTTTTTTAAAATCTCATTTATTTATTAGCTAAAGATTACATTAAATGTACAATAATTATTATTCCTTTTAGAAGCAGTAATAGTTTGACAATACCTGATTACATGATTTAAGTAGAAATGGATTTTTGTAAGAAAATGGTTTACTTACCCTCTTGCTATTACATTGAATTCAATTAATTGTATAATAAATAGGTATCTAATTTCAATTTGTTTGCATTTTTATTAAAAAAATAGGTAGTTTGGAATGTTTACGCTGTGTTTAACATTTAATTTCACTGAAAACTTAAAGCAAATTAAAACTTAAAGATAATTTAAATCGTAGAAAATGAAAACACAACTGTGAAATCCACAGAAACGTCAAATTGCAATGTCCTAACCTCACTTTTTGTTTTATTATTCATATTTAATTTTACAATAATTTAATGAAAAATATTAAACATTATAATGTTATAACAGTAAAACAAACAAATTAGTGCTTATTATAGATAAATTAAACCAGTTTAGTACGTTAATTTCTTAGAAAAGGATTAATTTGTCAAAACAATACCCCTAGCGAGAAAAAATCGAACTAATTACTTGCCTCATAAAAATTTTTATCGGCCTAGGCCATAACAAGGTATTTCTTTATCGAATGTTGACAACAATAAAGTTTAAATTATAGACCGCGTGGAGATAAATGTATTTATCAAAATCTCAGCTGATCCTTTATTAAAGCTTTGCATATTTCTTAGTATTTTAAAATTGTTTATGCCATTTCGATAAAATACTCTAGTACCATTATCAAATGTTTTTAAAATTTTGGCAGGTACATGACTGAAATATGGATAAATTACTATAGATTATTATAGATAGAAAATAATGTAAAATACAGTTTACAATATCTTATTTATTGTTTTAAGGTACCTAATACAAAACTAAAGATTCTTTGAAGCAAAATCGATTACTGCTTGCTTTACATTTTCAGTAAAACTTTTTCTTGGGTTTTACATGGAATTGTTTTTAACATGGAAACAGTATTTTTAAATTCTTCAATCTCTGTACAAACATGCTTCTTACATCTAGCGATATCCCCTAGAAGGGAAGAGCATTTCAAAACTTTAGATCGTTCGTCCGTCCTCTTCCCTTCATAATTTTGTATGCCCTTCATATCTTGCCATTTTGCAAATAAAGCACATACATTTTTGGCTGCTGCGAAATTCTTTAGCAATTTCTAAATTTTGAAAATTTGGCAATTGTGGATATGCAAAAATACCGTTTTTACCATACCTATTAAAGTCTGCAGTAATTTTTATATTTTCTCAGAAACCCTAAACTCTGAATTTTTCGATTACCAAAAACAATTTTGTCTCCACAGCCAGCACATACCTTCTTTCGATTTTCTTCATGGCTTAACTTGAATTTCGGTTCAATTTTCATTTTAAAATACTATTTTTAACTTTACAAAGTATACATTAAATAAACAACTAAAGCAAAATGTCACTTGCGTTATAACGTATAGCAACTTTTTTTATAACCACCTTGATTATAATTATTGTTTTACAAAATTTGCAAGTTGTAATTATTTCATAGACAAACTTCCAGTATTTTTTTTTATAAAATATTTAAGATATAAATCTTCGTTTTTTTTTGTTATGTTTTGTTTTGAGTGGTAAAAAATAATAGGTGACTCAATAAATTAAAACTGGGGAGTAAAGTAATTTAAATGATACAAAGTTTATTATTTTGCTTAATTTTATTAAAATTGTACAGGTAGTTTTAGTACAATAATTACAAAATAATATATAGAAATAGAAAAACAAAAAAGTTTGCAAAACTTTAAAATAGGATCAGCTGGGATTTTGATAAATACATGTTAGTGTTACCAAAAGGGTCTATTCGTCCTATACTATACTATACACCGTGAACAGTGTACTTTCAAGGAAAGTTAAATCTGTAAAAATCATTTTGCTAGCTCTCGAATAACGGACACCCTGTATATCTTTGGACGATTTGAAAAGAAAACTTGTACCCATAAAAGGTGTTAATGAACTGCAACTTTCGTCCGTATCAATCACTACATATAGAGATAAAAAAACATGACACATTTTATATTCAAGAGCCCGCCGCGAGATGCTATCTCGGCGTTGCACTCTATGCCACAATTCGGTTCAGCGACACGTTGTGTCACACAAAAGCCGTTCAATGTGGAATTTTCTCTCTCTCCGTCATAAATTATGTATATGCGGATGTATGGATGCATTTGTGTGTGAGACTTTTGCTGAACGATTTAAAGTGAAGCCCTTGGCGACATAAGAGTGAGGAAAGAGCGCGACAAACTACATAGTGCACTCCTCTTGAATAAAGTCTTTATGTTATGAGTTTTACAAACATGTGTAAGGATGTTTACAGAACTCATATTTAGGTTTCCTACTTGACAATTTTTTCTTTAAACTGGAGCATGTTAATGTTTTAACAAAGAAATGTTTGTCCTAGGGTGATAAAGTGTCGGAAAAAAACTGTCCTTTGGCTTTTTTGGGAAAAATTCAATTTTTTTTTTTTTGAAAAATATACACATTTGAAAAAAAGTGGTAATCAACAAGTTAAAATTATTATTTTAAATTAAAAAAATCCTTTATTACAAAAAAAATAAAACTAAACATTAAATTAAATTTAAGAAAATAAACGTACACGTGAAATATACTGTCCGTTGGGTTTTTTTGTTGCAAAAAGGAGTCCATTAAAAATATCTAACTATAAAATAATGAATGATTTATAAAGTTAAATTACAAAATTTTAATTTTATAAATCGAAGTGTTAAATAAAAGTTATGTTAATACAGCACCGAATAGGTTTTTTTGCTTACTAAATTAAAAAAAAATAATTTTTATAATCATAATATTATATGATTATAAACAGCGTCGGAAATTTACTTTTTTCTCGATATCAGTGTACGGATACTATCCGTAAAAATTTGTAAATTTTCAAAAAAATTTACATTTGCATTTTTTCGTATTACCCTTTGAATAAAATTTTAAAAATTAAAAAGTCAATTTTTCTAAAAATCGCGAGGCGAAAATTATAATATTCTATCTACATAAACAATAAATTGTCAGGAAAAGCGTTTAAAAAATTGACCATATAAAAATCAATTTTAGTTGGCTTTATTTGGTCAAAATATAATTTATTGACTTTTCTAGGTAATTTTATATTATTATGTGAAATATGTTTTGCTCATTTATTCTTTTTATAAAAGAATAATAAACAAAAATAAAAAATCAAATATAAAGAAAGAACAAAAATACAAAATAAAAATCAATTTGATTTTAAATTTTGTTATATCTAAATGAATTTTAAATAAAAAAGCATTTCTTTCACAACTTTGTTCTTACACAATATAGTAAACAATATAAAACGAAAAACCAAATGAAAAACGTCATTTTTTCTTTTTTCCAGCTTCAATTTTTTTTGTCATGCATCTTATCTTAAAATTCTTAAAACATGCTTTTAATAAACTGCTTATCAGCCTCTGGAATTAATTTAAATAATTGGTATAAATAATCCTTAACCTCGGCGAGTAAACATTTTTTACCACCGGACATGATCTCACATTGGGCAACTTAAAAAATCCTTTGTGGCTTCTTGTTCCAATTCGATAAATTAGATTTGCCTGTACAAAATCTTTGTCATCTTGTACTTTTTTGTAAAATATTTTCGTAGGAAATTCTGGTAAATATTTAAGGACCTTCACCGATGCATAAGGTAATTTAAAATTAATAATCTCTGGGGACTTCCCGTATTGGAGTGTGCCCTGGCTCTGAAAATTGTTGTGTTATTTGCTTGATCTCCGGGAATTCTTTCAAACACTTATTTAAGGCAAACGACAACTGAATTAAAGATATTCAATTTTTTTGAATAAAAGAAACAGGAAATATTAGATCGTCGAAGAACAAATACATTCTCCATATCAAAACAAATAACGGCTGTTGTTTTATCTGTATTCTGGCGGTCCTTAAGTATACCTTTTATTTTGCAAATTTCCTTTGATTTAAAGTGTTTTTAAATTTCTCCACTTATATAGCTAGGTTACCACCATTTTTTAAAATACGATATTCTTTGCAAATGCCACATTTTGGTTTAAAAAATTAGTAATTGAAGATGCTTCGATAAAAGCTCTTTTTAACGGGTGTTATATTTTTCTTATTACACATTCCCTTGTATAGTTTATTGTTAGAATTTAAAAAAAGCAAGTGAAATACAATAAATAGATAACAGAATAAATGTTTCACCATATTTTCTTGCTTTTTTTGCTTTTAGCATGTATCGCAGAAATTACAGTCTTAAACTGAAATTTACAGAATTATAATGTTCTATCTCCAAAATTCCGACAATCCCATTGGCGAAGCAGAAAGAACATTATAATGATTTGGTATTGCTGGAAATAAAATATAGAACAAATACATTTTGTAGCTTAAAGAGTAATAAAAATTGTTTTAAGACATTGTAAATATAACCATATTCATTAAAATATCTTAACCAAGCTAAAATCCCAGATTTGGAAAAAAGTGCAGATAGAACAATATAATTCTCGCCTCGCGAAATGTTGCGGTTTTTTTCCGCCGGCTCAATTTTTCCGGAAATTGTAAAACCCTAGTTTGTCCAAAACAACCCATAGCTTATTTTAACTTTTATATCATTTTCCTTCAGATCTATTGGTGATATGGACTCGACTGGTTCCGTATCCGCAGTAGAATCAGCCTTGGACAGGCTGGCCAAGCAGAGAAACGACCTGGAGGAACTTTGGGCAGCCCGTAAGCTCCGCCTGGACTTGTGTCTTCGACTGCGCCTCTTCGAAAGAGACGCCTTGGAGGTTTCCTCGCAGCTAGGTAAGTCTATAGTCTTTATGGTATGACGAGATAAAGTAAATTGTGTCTATTTGTTTAGAAATGTGGTCCGAAGAACTACAACACAGCGAACTGACTAGAGATATAGCGAAGGCCGAACAGTTTTTGAGACTTCACAACGAAAGCGTTAGTCAGATGCAAAATACTACCTACCAGGTTTTGCAGCAAGGTAAGGGTTTTGTTGTAATTTTTAGTATTCTTCAATTTTTATAATGTCAAAACGTTGTTTAAAACAAAGAATCAAAAAGACAATGTAGGACATTTAAGTTAACATTTTGAACGGGATTTTTAAGTATGTCAAGACATAACATTAAGAAAAACAAATTTAAGATTTTCAAAACCACATTTTATAATGCCAAACTTACTTAAATTTAAGATTTTAAAACCACATTTTATAATGCCAAACTTACGTAAAAGGAAAAATATACAATTAAAAACAAGTTAATATATTATTTCCTATGATTTTTAGAATGTTAAAAGTTTTAACCTAAAACCATACTTAAAAATGTTAAAGATGTAAAAAAAACGGTTTTTTTTTCAGACAAAAAAAAATAGAAAAAAACGTTTTTTTTCGTTTTTTTCAAATCCGCTACAATAAAGCATATTCTGTCAATATATATCATCAATCTTAAAAAATTGAGTAATTTTTCAAAAGGAAATTTTAAGTAAAATGTGTAGTAATTATAAAGTGAAATGTATATGATTATAATCAGAGTACACAATTTTTTTTTCTTAATACCAGTGTACAGATATTTGGAAATTTTCAGAAAATGTTACTTTTTAATATTTTTCGTATTACCCTTTGAATAAAATGAAATAATGCAAAAGTCAATTTTTCTAAAAAATGTGACCATAGTGCGCAATTGATCATTATCACCGAATGAAATATTGTATAAAACTTAAACCAAAGGAAACTTAAATATTAGTTAAAAATCGTGGGTACTTAAAAAAATTAGATTTAATTTCATAAGATAATTATTATCAAAAAAAAGGGATATTTTTATAGAAAAATTATTGCAGAACCGTATAAGAAGAAAAATCGAACAAAATTGATTTTTTGTCAATATAGGGCCATCTATTACATATATGAAAAAATGTACCTATTTTTAGTCTAATGTACCTATTTTTAGTCTAATGATCCGAATCTGTTACCCCCTGTTCCCCCTATAAGGAGGAGAGTATGAGGACCAATTTTAGTACTGATTGATTTCCCCCCTCAAATTATTTAATTTTTATTTTAAACATTTTTTCGTAAAATGCATACTAACAGATATTTTAAAGTTTAAAGTTATATGACTCACCCTATATAACAAACTTGCTTAAAAGGATCAAAACCATGCTTAAGAATGTCAAGAAAAAATATCAAAATAAAAAAACACAAAGGATGTGTAAATATCTTGGCTGGTATAAGTTTAATGTGGGAAATATGAAAATATTGGAAAAAAAATTTATTTTTTTTTAATTATCTTGGAAATTTTTACCTGTTTTCTACTCGTCAAACCCTTTCATTTTATACCCATACCCATTGATTTTTTTTGTATCTCTCTCTTACCTATGCACTTACGCGTTACGCATAGATGTTTACAAATCAAAAATGATTTTTTCTTACTACCTCGACTCAAAATACGTTGTTTCGTCCCCGATTCCACGGCAGAAAGTTTACGTTTTATGCATTGGTCAAGCTATACGCGCACACTTCAATAGCGGGAGTAAAAATTTTTAGTCGTGTGCTTAACATTCAAATTTCGTACTGCCAACCAAAAGGCTTTGTTATCTATGCTGCCAACATGAGTAACACAAAAATATGACAGTTTTAAACCATAATTTTGCAATTATAACAACAAATAAACAATTTATGTTTTTACTTTTTTACTTTTTATGTTGTTTTAAGTGTTTAATGGTACTTTTATTTGTTATAAAGTAGTAATTTATTAATTAAAATACAACGTTTTATTTTTACTATATTGGCACCGCTGAATTCACGGCCTACTGTTGTTTATTTATGAAGCTCTTCAAATGGAGATAGGTACATAAATACACATTTAATTTTTTCCCGTATTTTCGGCCGAGGAATCTCACACTTTCTGCCCTTGTAGTGTAATATACTATTACTTTAAAGCCAATAAAATAATCTACTACATAAACAATGTTATTCCTAGGTCAAGATTTGGTGCAAGTGTTCGAAAACTCGGGCATATGCGTGATGGCGGATGCGCAGTACAACGCGCAGACGCGCGTGCAGGTCCTGCTCGAGTTCCTGCACGACCGGGAGGTAGACCTGGAGGATCTGGCGGAATGCAAGAGGATCAAGTTGGAGCAGTGCATCCAGCTGGGGCAGTTCCAGAACGACGCCAATCAGGTCATCAGCTGGATCAGAAACGGAGAGTCCATGTTGATGGCCAGTTTCACCATCCCGAACAGTTTGAACGATGCCGAGCAGCTGAAGAAGGAGCACGAGCAGTTTCAGGTAAATATGGGAAAAATTAGTAGGGTAATGCAGGGTAAAATGATAGTAAACGCCAAAATAAAAAAGTTTTTCTTCTATCATTTTTGCTTTAGTGCCCTAAGTAATGTAGAAATTTTGGGTCGCCACTGGTTGTTCCTGACTTATGACAACTTACGCAAAATATGCTTGCAAAGTGGGCAATAATCTACATTCATTAAAAATTTACATTTGTGTTATCATTGATTACTTTGTTGATCATTGTTTTTTGTTTTGCATACCTAGATATTTTTAGGTACTTTGAATAAAACAATACTTACTTACTTTTTATTGTTAGGTTTCCGTGGTTTTCTCGTCGATTTTAAATTTCACCTTTCACTCTTTACGTCAATTTATGCTCATGTAGCATTTTTTTAAGTGTTTCACAAAATCATTATAAATCTTCAACTATCCCGCCGTTATTATCCACACAAAGTTGAAATCGGCGTAGATAATTAAAATGAGTCGCTCTTGCTATCATATCCGGATGATTTCGGATTTCACCTGCCGCTGCAGTGAAAAGTTCGCGGAGTTGTTTTAATGTGTCAACTTCGCTCTGGTACACTAAACTGTTCAAGTAGCCCCAGAGAAACCACAATAACAACCGAACTTTCAGTAATCAATTATAACAAAAGTTTGGTAAATATTACACAATACACTGTGCGCATACCTGTTTCTTTTTTGCTTGGATGAATAATATTGTTTAAAGAAGAAAAAGTAAAAACAAAAACTTAATCTACAAACCTGTTTTTTTCCAAATTTTGTTTATTTAGGGGTGTTATTTTACACCTAAAAGTGGGCAGTTGGATTTTTTTATACTGTATAAGCACTTAAAAAAGAAAAAATAAAAAAATGGTCCCCTGGGTCACAAATTTACTAACACATTAAAAAATGCGTAATCATCTTGAGAATATAAAAAACTTAAATTTATTATTAAAAAAAATGTTGAGTGTCCCTAAACTTATTGGCATAAATTTAGGAAAAGATTGAGCAAGTAAAAATAAGTCGAAAATCTAAATATATATTTTTCCTAATTACTTATGTTTCCAAGATACATTGTGATAAAGTGTTACTTATCATATCAGTTTTTTTAATATAACTTCTACTATGGTAGTCTTGGAAAGGTGATATTTTGCGAACAGTCACTTACTACCCAAACACATATTCACACATAATTACAGTTGTTTAAGTGAACACAGTGTCGTAGAAACAAACTTTGAGGTTAGGTTTTTTATCATTTGATGCAATTTTTCGATTACTCAGTTCGGCTACTATTAAAAGGTGCCACTCTCAAACTTCGATAAAATAAACCGTTTCCGAGATATGCGTTATTACAATAATTGTTATATCGCATTAAAGGACTAAAAGGTTTATGATAACAAATTTTTTAATTGAAACTACAATTTTTTTAATCTGATGGTCATAGCAAAAAGTCCCGAGGTTCATGGAATGCCCTTTTTGTAATTATTGTAATCTCAAATATCTCGGAAACGGTTTATTTTATCGAAGTATGAGAGGTACACCTTTTTAATGGTAGCCGAACTGTGTAATCGAAAAATTGCATCAAATGTTATAAAACCTAACCTCAAAGTTTGTATGGGACAATAAGCTTAAAGCAACTCTCGTTTCTACGACACTTTGTTACTCAAACAATTGTAATTATGTGTGAATATGTGTTTTGGTAGTAAGTGACTGTTCGCAAAATATAACCTTTCCAAGACTACCATAGTAGAAGTTATATTAAAAAAACTAATATACAAAAAAAAACAAAACACTTAAACCAATTGATTTCGCTTAGTAAAGTTCCAAATGGCGTTAAACTCAATTTTTTTTTAAATAATAAAGTTGAGGGATAGCAAATGTACAAGAAATTTGAAAATAACCCATATATACGATAGCTCAGTGACATCCAGTTATTAAAAAAAGTAGACAGTTTATTATATGATAACCTGTATTTTTAGGTTGCAATTGAAAAAACCCACACGTCCGCCGTGCAAGTCAAGTACCGCGCAGACGCACTCATCAACGCCAACCACTACGACCCGCAAAGCATCCGCGACATCTCCGAGGAGGTGACGAAACGCTGGCAGCAACTCGTAACGTGCGCAGAGGAGCGCCACAAACTGGTCACGGCCAGCTTGAACTTCTACAAGACCGCCGAGCAGGTCTGCTCGGTGCTGGACAGCTTGGAGAGGGAGTACAGGCGCGACGAGGATTGGTGCGCGCCTCAGGGAAATCTAGACAAAGCCACCGCCATCTCCCAGCTGATCAACAAGCACCAGGAGCAGAAGGAGGCGTTTTTAAAGGCCTGCACTCTCGCGAGGCGCACCGCCGAGACTTTCTTGAAGTACACCACGAGGAGCTTGCAGTTCTACAACTACCCCAATACGTCATCGAACCACGAGTGCCGCGTGAAAGGCATCTTGGAGAAGTTGTTGAGCCAGGAAAATAAAGTCTTGGAGCACTGGACGCACAAGAAGAAGCGCTTAGATCAATGCCAGCAGTTCGTTCTCTTCGAGAGATCGGCCAAACAGGCCATAGAGTGGATACACGACACGGGGGAGTGCTACTTAACAACCCACGCAACGAATTTGGGCAGCACCATAGATGAAACCGAGAGCTTGCTGCGCGAACACAACGAATTCAAGGGGACTGCCAAGGAGACGCGCGAAAGGGTGAAACTTTTGATCCAGCTGGCGGACAGTTTGGTGGAAAAGGGGCACGCGCACGCCAGCTCGATCAAGCAGTGGGTGGCCGCGGTGGATAACCGGTACAAAGACTTCAGTTCGCGCATGGAGCGCTACAGGCAGCAGCTGGAGGAGACTTTGGGGATACAGGAGGAGGAGAGCGAGAAGAAGGAGCTGTCGATCGATAGAAACTCCGATCCCAGTTTGGAATCTAAAATTAAGGAATCGGCCAATAAGGATCTCAAAGAGTTGAACGAAGAAAAACGGAGATCTGCTAGAAGAAAAGAGTGAGTACCTATTTAGTTATTATTTCAATTTTCAGCTTGTTTCTAAGGAAAAATACCGGAGTTTCAATTTTATAAAATGAAAAAATATTTTTTTTTTGAAAATTAGTTGTGGCTTGTTATTAAATTAATTTGTCTATTCTTTTTTTCAAATCAGGCTCTTCAATTTTAGGCTCTTCATTCTCTTTTTCTTTACTTTTTTTCTTGATCTGCTTGATAACTTTATTTTTTTCTTCTGATCTTGCAATTGAAAAACTGGAAAATTCATATTTAAAATAAGTTATCTAAAAATAACAAAAAACTGAACTTTCAGCTTTTGTTCTTCTTTTTCTCCAAAAATTGGTTCTCACAAATAATTGTTCCTCTAAATTTTTTCGTTTATGGGGGAAGTAAAAATTTGTGACCAGAAAACAACCTTTTAACGCTTACTTACTTGTGTTGCAGGTGTCATAAGTATACAAAATACTAGGCAACACTGTAATTAATAAACCCCCACTACAAATGTACCCTTGCTACACAAGATACCTACATACACCTACATGCTAGTCACTTTAATAAATCAGTCTTCCACCTACTCTGGTATTATTTACTTCATGGCGCAGTCGGTAGGATATTTTACAGTGTTGCCTAGTATTATATAATATATATGTATATATATGACATCTTTCTTTTTTCAATAAAGTTATTTTAATTTACATTTACAATAATTATTTAAACAACATTTAAAATTGGAATTAACACAGCAGGAACACTAACAATACTTGTGCTAGAGTGTATAATTTATAGATTTATAGCCCGTGCTCAAATATTTTATTGCAAAAACTAATTTTAACAAAAAAAAATATTTTTTTTTATTTTTGCTAAAAGACATTAAGAAAAAAAAGAAAATAACCTAAAAAACCGTTTTAAATTTAAATATTGTTCATATATTCATATTTTTTGTCAAATCTCTTTTCTTTGTAAAATTAATAATAAGAAAGTTTCCCATAATATAATATAACATATTATGTTGCCAACTTAATATATATGTATATAAATTTGGCAACAACTTTAAATATGGCATGATGAATTACTGAAGGTATCTTGAAGATTTTGAACAATTCTATGATTTTTGCAACACAGCAAAAAAAACAAAAATTCTAGGTTCTTTAAATTTAATAAAAATATAAATATATAAAATATTTTGTTTAATATAGAAAAGGTGTAAAAATCAAAAAAGCAAAACAAGTATATATAAATTTGGCAACACCGCTAAATAGTGACTTACTGAATGAAGGTACAAAAATTTTGAAAAATTTCCAAGCTCTGCGATTTTTTAGGAAAACATCCCAGTTTCTGGGAATTTTTGGATTCTGGGACTCTTTTGTAAAAAAAAATAAAAAAAGTAAAAAGGAAAATTCCCAGGTTCTGGGATTTTTTGAAAATTGGGCTACAGCGTTAAATAGTGCAAGATGACTTACTGAAGGTATTCTGAACATTTTAAAAAATTCCCAAGTTCTAGGAATTTTTGTAAACTTAGCAACTTTGCAAAAAATTTATATGTCCGGTAATTTTTTAATTTTTAATTAAAAAAAAAACAAAAAAGTACGTTTAAGAAGCAAAAAAAGTAGCCTAGGTTACTCTCCTGTCAGAATTAGTGACAAAATAATTTTGTTTTGGAGTTTTCATTTAAATGTCAGAGAATCAAGCCTCTAAATGCAAAATCAACTAATTATCTTAAATTTCTCGTATTTTTTTTTTTCGTTTAGGTATAGGTATCCGTCATATTTTTTAAACGTGATTTTGTAAAGAATGATAGTATCGTAAACAGAACAAAAATGACGAAAAATTTAAAACAACAGCTTTTAATTTCAAACCCTGTAACATGTCGGATTTGTATTACATTTTTGTTTTAATTTTAGACGATCGTTATTGTGTTTAATTTTTGAAATCTAAAAAATAGTCGATATAATCTAGAAAAAATGCATTTTTGAACTGAAAACTGTATTAAGAGAATTGCGTTAATAACGCTTTTTGGTATAATAAAACATTTTAATTTTATAACATAATAATAATGTGTTTTATCATCCTAAAAATCGTTTTTAACTCGATTCTATTAATAAAATTAATTAAATATAAATGCATATTTGGTAGAATTCAGTAATCACTTTTGCAGTTTAAAATAAAAATTAAAAAAGGGGGAAGTCCGATAAACTGAGCTAGTAGTACTATTGACCTGAACCCAACCATTGCTATCTCTAAAGTTTCTTTGCATAACACAATCAATTAAAACATCATCAAGACCTATTGTTAGTTAACTTGAAAACAGATTAGTCTGTTGTTTATATTGGTGGTGGTCTAATTACATCTTGAATACTTACTACGAACGCGTGCGCACAAAGATATGTAAGTTAATTTCCTGGAATTTCCTAATTTCATAAAGTTCATAATACTAATTGCTAATATGAAGAAATTTTGATGTTTGACGGTTATAATGTGCAGTTCTTTTAAAGTGGTACATAAAAAGTTTAATTCAAGGTATTTTTTTATTATTAGGTATTATTTGTTACTTGTCAATTAAATTATATTTATAAATATGCCAAACAATATTGTTAGTTTAAAATTAGTTAGTTTTTGTTAGTACCCATAGATGTCGCCGTTAGTACTATAACCAATACACGGTGCTGTTCTGAGAGGTGATTTTTGGACTTTCTGTGAAACCTAGTTTTTTTTATATTCTTGTTAATTAGATCATAACTAAAATTTTAAGAGCAAAATAAAAAAAAATTGACGGTTAATTTTGTTTTAATTGGATGTTTATTAAAAATATGTATGCACACTTTCAATTCTCCAATTAAAACTTGCGATTTTATTTAAATATTATCATAACTTTTTAAATCAGATTAAAGATTAGTTAATTTCCTAAAAAAAGGTCTATACATTTTTTATATCTTTTACTGTTTTGTTGTAATACACGTTTAAAGTTTTAATTTAAGGTTAAATGTATAGCATACATTTATTAAACAATAATTCTAAGGGTGCCATTTAGGGCCGATTTATTCATTTTTGATTTATTTGACGAATAATTTCTTTGTATTACTAGATACTGCCAAGACATGAAAGTTATCGGCCCGATAAATTTTACTAAACGGCCATTTCAAGCGGATGGACGGGACAAATCACAAAACTATTTTTATAAAAAAAATTGTAGCTAATTTATTATATATTATTTTTGCATCAAAATTGTCAATAAAATTCTTCTATTATTAGGGTATACATTAAATAAAAAAAATCGCAAGAAATATTTTATAAAAGTAGAGATAATTTCAATGATTGACAGGGATGGACGGGACAAGATAAATCTTTTTTTGTCCCGTCCACACCTTTCAATTATTAAAATTATATCTACTTTCATAAAATATTTCTTGAGTTTTTTTTAATTTAATGTATAACCTAATAAAAGAAGAATATTTTTGACAATTTTGATGCCAAAATATTATATAATAAATAATCTACAATTTTTTTTTATAAAAACAGTTTTGTAATTCGTGCGTTTCGCGCGCTTGAAATCGCCGTAAAGATGAATAAACCGGTCCTTAGTTAAATTTCATGAGTTTCTTCGTAACTTTTACTACAATTTTTCATTTTTGTTTATAAAAAACACTTTAAAAAACTAAACAAAAATTATAGAATACGTTTACTGAAAATGACAATTCAAACATCAAATACATTTTTAATATATCTAAGTTTCATGGCAACCTTTAAGGATATATTAATTAAGGGAACACAAAGGTTAGATTAAAAGTTTGAACGTTTATTGCAACAAAACAGTAAAATATATAAAAAAAAATTGTAAAAACCTTTTTTTAGTTATGCAAATGTTAAATATTTAAATTAAATCGCTAGTTTTAATTGGATAATTGAAAGAGTGCATAATATTTTTAATAAACAGCCAATTCAAACAATTCAAACCGTCAATTTTTTTTTATTTTGCTCTTAAAATTTAAGTTATGACCTAATTAACAAGAATATAAAAAAAAATTAGGTTTCACAGAAAGTCCAAAAATCACCTCTCAGAACAGCACCGAGAATAAGAAAGTGGTTCCATATTACCACCTTGTTAACAAAATATATTCTTTTTAGGTTCATAATGGCGGAACTCCTGCAAACCGAACGCACATACGTCAAAGATTTAGAAACCTGCATTAAATGTTTCCTGCACGAGATGCAGACGATGAACAACACTCCTGCGGCGTTGCAGGGCAAAGAAGACATAATATTTGGCAACATCGAGGAAATTTACAACTTCCACAACTCGATTTTCTTAAAGGAGTTGGAAAAATACGAAACCATGCCCGAGGACGTTGGGCATTGTTTCGTCACTTGGGCGCAGAAGTTCGACATGTACGTGCATTATTGCAAAAATAAGCCCGAGTCGAACAGTATGTTGGTGCAACATGGTGGGGGTTATTACGAGGAGTTGCAGAAGAAGCACAAAGTTGAGCACCCGATTTCCGCTTACTTGATAAAGCCAGTGCAAAGGATCACAAAGTATCAGTTGTTGTTGAAGGATTTGCAATCTTGCTGTGAAGAGGGACAGGGTGAAATTAAGGTAAGTTTTAAATAAAATTTACTACATTTAAGAATGTTCAAAACAGGTCATATTAAAATTTCAGGTTTTTTAAAAACATTTTTTAAATGACAAATGAATACTTAAGAATGTTAAAACATACTCAAAAATGCAAAATGTCTTAAACACATTTTAGAATCTTAAAACATATTTAAAATGCCAAAACAATACCCAAGAATGTGAACAATTAAGAATATCAAAGTTATTTTAGAACCAAAAAATTTAAAATACATAAAATAAATACACAAGGATGTTAAAAACACAATTAAGAGTATTTAAAAATGGTAAAATAAGATCTTTAATCTTTAAATCTTAAATAAATATTATTACAGTCATTTATTTAAATAATTTTATCAAATTCCAGCAAACAATGTAATTTCTTACATGAAAATTTCATGATGAAATAATAAAATAATAATAAACCAATATTAAGTGTAAAGATTTTGAATTTAAAACATATTTTAAAATATTAAATACATAAAGAACATTTTTATAATGTTATACCAAGGATTGTTAACACATTTAATAATATTTAAAAGCTTACTTATCAAGGCATATTTCAACATGTTTTAAACAAATTTTAGAATTTTAAAAACAATGAATACTTAAGAATGTTAAAACATACTCCAAAATGCAAAATTTCAAATAATAATTAATTATAAATATTAAAATTTGACATTGTAGAATATGTCGAAATCAAATTTTAGAATGTCTTAAACACATTTTAGAATCTTAAAACATATTTAATATGCAAAAAAATACCCATGAATGTTAATAATTAAGAATATTAAAGTTATTTTAGAATTTCCAAAACATATTTAAGGTGCATAAAATAAAATCCACAAGAATATGTATTTATTTAAAAATGGTAAAATAAAATTTTGGAACCTTTAAAACATATTTTAGAATGTTAAAAAAATTAAGAACAAATGTTAAACCGAAGATTGTTGACACATTTAAGAATATTAAAAGCTCACTTGTCGAGGCATATTTCAAAATGTTCAAAACACATTTTAGAATATTAAAAATATTAAATACTTAAGAATGTTAAAACACTTAAAAATGACAAAAATACAATTATTACATATTATATTACAAAAATTGAAGTTCTTCTACTTAATTGAAATCAAATTTTAGAATGTTAAAAACATATTTTAAAACGTTAAAAACATTAAGAACATTTTTATAATGTTAAACTAAGGAACGTTGACACATTTAAGAATATTAAAAGCTCACTTGTCAAGGCATATTTCAAAATGTTTAAAACAAATTTTAGAATTCTAAAAACAATGAATGATTCAGAAAAACAAATGAAACTTAAGAATATTAAAACATTAAAAAATGACAAAGATTATGAAAATTAAAGTTATTCTACTTTGTCGAAATCAAATTTTAGAATGTTTTAAACACATTTTAGAAGGTTTAAAACATTTTAAAATGCAAAAACAATACCCAAAAATTTTAATAATTAAGAATATCAAAGTTATTTTAGAAAATAATATATAATAATAATTTTGGTATCTTTAAAACATATTTTAAAATGTTAACCTTTTATAATGTTTTATGTTGACACATTTAAGAATATTAAATGCTAACTTGTCAAGGATTATTCGAGAATGTTTAAAACAAATTTTAGAATTTTAAAAACAATAAATACTTAAAAAAACAAATAATAATAACTAAAGAATGTTAAGACAGTAAAAAAAATAGAAAGATACAATTCGTTACCTTGTTCTAAGTGCAGTTGCCATGTTAAGCAAAAATGGCTTATCTGCAATATTTAATATTGTAGATTTTTGCTTAACAGTTCAGCTGCACTTAGAACCTTGTTATTCTAAGGTGTCGAATTATAAAAATTAAAGTTATTCTATTGTCTGTCGAAATCAAATTTAAGAATGTTTTAAACACATTTTAAAATGTTTAAAGCATATTTAAAATGCAAACACAATACCCAAGAATGTTAATATTGTAGAATATTAGAATTAGAAGAATTTTCAAAACATTTCAGATGAATAAAATAAATCCGTAAGAACATTAAAAACCCAATTTATAGTATTTAAAAATGGTGAAATGAAATTTTGGAATCTTTAGAACATGTTTTAGAATGTTAAAAACATTAAGAACAAATTTAAAATGTTAAACCAAAGATTGTTGAGATTGTTTATGAATATTAAAAGCTCACTTGTCAAGGCATATTTCAGAATGTTCAAAACATTTAAAATTTTAGAATGTTAAAAACAATAAATACTAGGCACCCAAAGGTATAGCCATTAGGGTGGGTCGATTTTTGAATTTTAAAACGCCTGTGTCAGGAAAAGTTGTGTATGGGACTAAAAAAAATGTAGGTATTTTTATTTTTTTTTAATTTAAAATTTAACCCCCCCGCCGGCCCTTCAAAAATTTTAAAATAAAAAAATTCAAAATCAAATTTTCCTGTACTAAAAATTGTTGTTTATAAACGCAAAATAATATATTTTTATATTTGGAATGCATTAACAGCCCCCGCCCGATTTATTTATAATATTTAGACGTATGTATTTTTTATTATAATTTTACTATTATTGTATTTTAATCACCTTTTTGTATAAATTAAATATTTAATATTATAAAATATAATATATTTTTATTTTCAATTATAAATATGGCGGCGGGCGTAAAGCGTAAAGTTTCTACTCGGCAGTCGTTTCGCGATGCCGTATTTGGTGAACCTCGTGACTTAAGTGAAACGGTACTGCCGTGTTATGGAGATGTAATGCGGTATTTTCTATTTGTACAAAACAATTTAAGTGGACACACCACTAAAAATAAAACTGTTGCTGAGATTTCCAAACTGGTAGTTGACAAGGTACAAACAATTTGGTGGAAAGCCAGTTTGCCTACTATATCAAACCAGCAATGTGTTGCACTACTTAAAAAATATCACAAACAATTCATGGATCTTAAAAAATCTCTAAAGAAAACAAGTAGTTATGCCCGAAATAAATTACAATGTTTCCAAAATGAATCGAATAAAAAGCTTTTCGATATTTCGACATGCAAATGCAAAGAATTTTCATCGTTTGCTTGTGTCAAGTTAAAGAAGGTCCCTAAATTAGAACATGAATTTTTAAAAGATCAGAGAACCACAAGGATAATGTTTATGGGAAAAGTGGATGCCAAAAGCACTAGAGTTTTAAAGCAAATGCTAGAAAGAAAAGGAGAAACAGCTAGCTGCAGTGGTTTGAAGTCCGAGGCAAAAACTCAACCTAACGAAGTTTTTTCAGACTCATTATCGCAGCAGGATACCGATTCCGATGAGGAATTTAATCCAACATCCTCTACCAGCGCAAAAGACATATCACTTGCCCTACCGTCACTTGCAAAAGCAATAGATCGAGCAGGATTATCGAGTCGCAAAGGTGCAATGATAGCCAGTGCAGTCCTTGAGGATGTTGGTTTAATCACAAAAAGTGACACATCTTACATAATCGATAAGTGTAAATTGGATCGCCAAAGAAAAAGAGCTCGGCTCGACTTACAAAAAAAAAGTGCAGAGGACGGCAAAATTTTACAAGCCCTTTATTTTGATGGACGCAAAGACCGCACCTTCCACATAAAAAAGCAAGAAAGCACATCATCTAGAAAAACTGTTGTTGAAGAGCATGTAGTTTTAATCCAGGAGCCTGGTAGCAATTATTTGGGACATGTGACACCTGAAAACGGGACGGCTAAAAAACTTGCATCAAGTATTCTTAGTTATATTGACAAAGCTAGTATCTCTACATCCGAGCTTGTTGCTATTGGCTGTGATGGGACAGTAGTGAATACTGGACCCCACGGAGGGGTTATTCATTTATTGGAATCACATCTCAAACGACCTGTGCAGTGGCTGATATGCCAACTGCTCGCAAATGAGCTGTCACTCTGTCATTTGCTTCGACTAGATGGCGATACTAAAGGTCCTGCTTCATTTTCAGGCCCCATTGGAAAACTCCTTGAATCATGTGAGAAGTTACCGGTCGTTCATTACAAAAAAATCGGGACAGAATTACCTAATGTAAACTTAGCAGAACTCAGCACTAACCAAAAATATTTATACCTAATATGTCAGCTATATCTACAGGAAACTGTCCAATTAGTTTAGCAAATAAAGCACCGGGTAAAATGTCTCATGCGAGATGGCTCACTACTGCTAATCGGATTTTACGAGCTTATATTGGAACGGAGACTCCACCCATCAATCTTAATATTCTAACAGAGTACATTTTGAAAGTGTATGCAAAGGTTTGGTTTTTAGTAAAATATTTACCTTTATGCACAAAACAAACAATAGAGTCCAGAAAGAAAATGCCCAAATTTAGTACAAAGTCAGAATATGTGGTGAGCACGGAATAATCTAAAATGCCCACATGGAAGGGTGGTTGGGCGGGCAGGGGTGAAACTCGATGGCAGCCACCTCCCCGTGGTGAGTTCTGGGTTATTTTAAGTTTAAGTATTGCTCAAAATAAGCGAAGAGCTGCCTTGTAACAATTTTGTTAATTTTAAACAAATTATTTACATTTTTGTATGTGTGGCGGGGGGCCTAAATGTACTTTAAATTTGAAAAAAAAAAATTTGAGGACTCAAGAGACCCAAATAAAACATTCCCCATGCAGGCCTATAATTGTTTTAATATTTATATCTTTTTATTTTTGGGGGCCCGGCGGGGGGTCTAAATTAATTTTTTAAATTGTAAAAAAATATTTTTCAAAATAAAAGTCCAACCTACAACTTTTCCAACCACAGTCGTTCTAATTTTATAAAAAATACTAAAAAACGACCCACCCTAATAGCCATAGTGGACCACTGTGATAGTCTCCAATCTTAAATAAATATTACATAAGTCATTTATTTAAATAATTTTATTAAATTCCAGGAAACGATGCAATTCTTACACGAAATAATGAAATAATAAATAAATTAATATTAACTTAATATTATTAAGTGTAAAAACCGCATCTTGGTAAAATTATGAATTTATTTATTTAATTCATTGATAAAGCAAGGCACTGTAAATTAAATTTGTCATAAGTTAAATAGATTTTGGTTAATAAACTGTGTTAATAATAAGTGTGTTGTATAAAGTATAAAGCCATTTAAAAATGAGAAAAAGATTAAAAAAAGTTAAAAAAGTACAAAAACGAAAAATATTATTTTAAAATATACAATTTCTCTATTTTTTCTTTCCAGGATGGTTTGGAAGTTATGTTAAATGTGCCCAAAAAAGCAAATGATGCCATGCATCTTTCTCTTTTGGAAGGATGTGATATATCGTCAGATAAATTAGGAGAAGTCGTTTTGCAAGATGCGTTCAACGTATGGGATCCAAAACAATTGATAAGAAAGGGTCGGGAAAGGCATATTTTCCTCTTCGAGTTGTACCTCTTGTTCACGAAAGAAGTCAAAGATTCGGCCGGGAAAGTCAAGTACATCTACAAAAATAAATTAATGGTAAGAGAAACGTTTTTTATTATACCTTTGACATTTTACCCTTTGATTTAGCAAAATAGTGATAACTGTTGAGAGAAATATTAAAATAACTTTTTTTTAGACTTCAGAGTTGGGTGTGACAGAGCACATGGAAGGTGACGAGTGTAAATTCGCCGTCTGGACGGGAAGGGCTCCGATTTCGGACTACAGGATCGTAGTGAGGGCCTCTTCCCTGGATACCAAACAATTATGGGTAAAAAAGTTAAGGGAAGTCATACAGGAAACTTATTTCAGTGGGGCTTTACCTTTAAGTTTGCCAAAGAGTCCTGCTAAGTTGAAAACGCATAGTCAAAGATCCAGCAGGTAAGAAAAAAAAATGTTTTGTGTGTTTTGATTGTTTTTTAATGCTTTTTTTTTGCAGGGATATGGAAGACTGTAATTCATTGGATGAAAGTGTGGAAAATTTGGATAGAAATTCTCTGGCTTCGTTTGGATCTGGAAATACGACTGATTCTGATAAGGTTAGTTAATTTTTTTATTACATTTAAAATCTTTTTATTTAAAATCTGCATGATATTAGAACGATTTAAATAAACAATATTTGTAACAGTATTAATTATAAGGGTTTCTTTCTTCAAATATTACATTGTGGCTTTTATAAAACAGATGGCTGCATGGGTCATAAATATTGATCTTGATAATAAATAAATGTTTTACATAGTAATTTCCTACATAATAGCAATAAAAATACATATTATGTAAATAAAATAATTGCAGTTTCATAAATCAAGATAATTTTTTTATTTAATTCCAGTATTTTAAAAATTTTAATATACATTTACATACATTTTAATACCATTTGGAAAAACATTGAAATAAAATTAAACTTATAGTAATAGTTTACTGTTAGTTTAATTTTATTTTAATTTTTTTTTCAAGGACAACTTGACAGAATAAATTTTTGTAGTTATTATTGTGCATTTTTCTACTTAAAATTTTCCAATAAAATTTAGTATAGGGTGGTTTTGAGGGGTGGTGAATCCAGTGCCGTGCTTAGATTTTGTTAATATGAATTCTTAAAAACTTACTCTTAAAAACTGAAATAGTAAAAATTTGGAGTTTTTTGCTCCAAAAATACAGTTTATCAAGATCTACACTTTAAAACAAATCCGGTTAAAATCGCACAATAAATAAAGATTTTACAGGGGTGAGTCGCAAACAAATGGGTCACCCTGTATCTTTTCTATATTTTGCATTTTTTTATATTTTGACCCAGTTTTAATCGATTTCTTCCTAATTATACCATAAACCAACAAATAAACACGTAAACAATGCTGCCAACAAAAAACATCGCATACTAATTAATTGCTGTTTTAAATTTGTAAGTATTTTTTTATTACGCTGTTTTCGGTTTTGACGTGCAAATTATTTTAAAATTTTACAATTTAAAGCCCTTGCAGAGTTTATTTATGGTAAACATGTTTTACTTTACGTTAACAAACATGTTGTAATAATGTTGTAATGTTGTAATTGAAGTTTTAAAAACTTTCCCATATACAAGGTGTCTTACGTAGACAAATAAGTTGTTATTCTTTTTATTGAAAATTCCACACCAGTACTTTTTAACCAATCAAAATGTATTTTGTGGAAATTTTATTCGCTTGACTAGGTAACCAAAGCGAATTAAATCGGAATTTTTTTGACATAATCACAGAATAAATAAAAACGCCAAAAAGCAATTTTCTACCACTTGTAGTAACTCAAAGTGTAAGTAAAATTAAAGAATGAGTCTTAAAATGGTATTTCCGTGCAACTTCAATAAGTAGAACTCATGTTGGTGTCTAAGTTCTAAGTACACAATAATGATAATGATAATATCGGATAACATAATTAAATATAAGTAAATAAATACAATATTCAATATAAATACTAAATAAATAATTAAGGTTTTTACAATAAATTATATAGTATCCCTTGAGTTTCTATATTCTCTGGGACTCCCAGACTGGAAGTTTGTTGTAAAGTTTGTACTCTTGGTGTTTTAATTTTATTTCTCGTCCTCTAGTATTATGTTTATTTGTGATGGCTTCTTTTCTGTATTTTCTTTGTTACAATCTTGTTCACTAATTATTTTAATTGTGTCAGTTCTTCAATATTGAGTTGTTGGATATTCTTCTGCCCAGTAGGTGTGTATTTGTCCATTCAGTACATGATCTTTACAATTTTGTTTTAATTTCGTTGTAATTATTTTTTAGAGGTATTATTCTAGCAATTAACTTAATTTTTGTTTAAAAGGGTTATGATTGTGTAATAATATGTAATTTACAGGATTTTTGAAAAAAATAATACATACTATATTTATTTTTCAAACGCCACCATAAAATTACATAAAAAACATAAATGTTGGACGGTTATTAAAAAATTATGGCAAATCTCAAAATAAAAACTATAGAGGGATTTTTTACAAAAAAACAAGTTATATAAATTGTTTAAAAAAATGTATTCGAAATATTTTTTTTAACATTTCATCTTATTCTTTTAATGCTTATTTATTAAAATGTCAATATATTTTTTTTTATTTTATATTTGTACTAATACTTAAATTGCCAATGAGTTTCTCTTATAAAATTTGTCTAAAAATAATAAATAAAGGTACTTCTTAAAGTATTTAATTTTTTTTTAAGCAGCCTGTTCATTTAATTCTTTTTTTTTTCATCAGAAACTTCTTTTATAAACTAGCAGGAGATTTTATAAACTAAAATTTGTTTGTAAAACTTAATGAAAAAGTTTTCTATTGGCAACCTGATCTGGGGATAAATTAAATTTATACAGGGTGTCCTGAAAAGGGCGCACTATCACGCAACTTTAGTTAAAAAAATATTTGGAAAACCTGTATGTTTAATAAGCTGACACAGTTTATAGAACAATTTAAATAAGGCAGTTAGTTAAAAAAATAACAAAAATAATTAGTATCAAGTGACTCAAGTCAAATTATAATTTTTTTAAGAAAAATTTATTTGTTAATTAATATTAAAAATGTGCGATTAAACATTACTGCACCGTCTTATTAAAAAATCATTATCTTCCAAACTTAAAAAAAAAAATATTTTTAGAGGATGTTAAGAAATAAATGCAATGAGCAATATCCTTCCCATTATCGTGCTATTGGTCATCATTGCTAATTTATATAATTTTTTTAACAAAGTACTGGAAACTCTGAAACATAAGATTCTGAAACCATTTTTTTTTAAATTTTTTTTAAACCTCATTAGAAAAATGTTTTCTACATTTTTATGAACAAAAGCAGTTTTGTGATTAAAAAAACAATTTTAAAACTGTTTAAAAAAATCAAAATTGTCTAGTAAAGTTTTAAAACTTGGTAAATTGTAACGTATATTTTAAAACCAAAAAAAAACATCAAGACCACAAATTAAAAAATCATTCAAATTATTAAATACCATCAGAGATTATTTGGAATTTAAAAGAAAACAACAACAAAAAATATATAACTAAATAAAAATTGAAGACGCAAAAATAAATGATTTTGTAAACCCCAGTAGAGTTCACGCGACAAACTGTTTTTTCGTTTATTTTTTGGGAGCGGCAACCTCTTTTATGCTTGACGCGCGTTTGAAACAAAATTGATTAATTAACGCACGTGTTTATTAATTTTTTTGAAAGGTTTTAATTTAATTAAAAGTGTTGCAAACGCCTTTGTCAAATTTTACCTTTACATAAAATGTCTATATTTAGACATGAAAAATCCTCGTTTTACAAGAGAAATACTTAATTAAGTGCCATCGTGCTGAAAATACATTTGCATGTACCTACGCTTGAAAGGGAAAAATGCATTATATTGGGTGTACCAAAACTCATAGACAGCAAAAAAGGGATGTATAGGGAACGATTTTTTAAGAGGAGAAGTCCTTGACGTTTTTCGATCTGACAAAAGTTTAAATTGCTTCGTGCACTTCTACAAATGCGAACTCCGTATCCGTGTCGGAAATATTAAGGACTTGATTATCTAAACTTTCTTAAACTTTGCGAAACTTTTAAAACAAAATATAAAGTTTAAAATTAAAAAGAAAATAATTTTTGCTTACGAGTATAATATCATCCACAGACGTTGTTGACACTGAAAAATAATATTTACCAGAACTTTTAAGTTTTCCATTGTTAAGACAGTTATTTTTAGACGTGTCTAAAAATGTTGAACCTGAAAAGGAATAAATAAATTTGTATTTCCACCTTCTTAGTAAATAACATTTGATAGGTTAATTTTGTTGTTTTTGTATCCAAGTAAACGATACATTATGGGAACAGACCTGTAATATTTTACGGGCTTTTATAAAAGACCTGTAAAGTTTTACAGGCTTGTAGAAAAGCAATTTATGAAATAAAATGACACATTTGACGCATTAATTGAAATTTTAAATTTGAAAATCGTTATCTTGAGGTAAAAATAAAAGTTTGTACGTGTCATTAAAACTTCCAGCTCGCCCGTAAAGATTCATTTACAGAGCTTGACACGTAAATAACTATTACCGCGTTTTATTTATGCCCAACAATATACAAAAAAATAAAATGGTGGGCGATATTCATATTTTACATATTTGTCAATATATAAATAAAAGTTGTATTGCAACAGTAGCGCGTGTTCAAAAATTTATTATTTTAAGTTAAAGAGATAAAATGACAGAGTAGCGTTTAATAATCAAGAAACGCTCTTTGTAAAAAATGTTAAATTTCTTGGGGTTCAAATAAACTTACCACTTAATGTGTCGCGACCAAAAAGTTCATTCTTTTTCAAAACGGCATAACTTTTTTGTTTCTTGAACAATTTTATTTTGAACTATGAAGCTCACGGTTCGTCAAGTAAATTTCCTACAGGGTGATATGTTAAACGGTGAAAAATTTCAATAACTTCATCCAAGCCCCGTTTGTAAAAAAATAATTTTTTTCTCGTTTTTTCTTTGAAATAATGAAGTATTATGTGTTACCTTAAAATATTTTTCAAGTTTTTCGAATTGGAATCTTAGCAACAACGATATGATTTTTTTTCGGATTTTATTTAACAGTCGGGAATTGTTTTCGAATTTTGATTCTTGGTGATTTTGGTTTTATCTGAAACTTAAATTTGACAACTGAATCACAATCAGGAGGTCAAAATGATAAAGAAAACATGTCACGAACGTAAATATCGGTTCAGGTTTAGTTTTCGCAAATTCAGAATTATTCAAGGAACAATCTTTCTCCATCTTATTTTCTTGTTCTTAAAAAGACTGAGTGTATTGCCTACCAAAAAGCCTTAAATGTACTCTTTTGTAAAAAAATCAGATTTTCGTTGCTAATATTCCAATTCGAAAAATTTGAAAATCTTTTCAAGGTAAGACATAATTCTTCATTATTTCAAAGAAAAAACGAGAAAAAATATTTCTTTTTTCAAACGGGGCTTGGATGAACTTATTGAAATTTTTCACCGTTTTACATATCACCCTGTAGGAAATTTACTTGAAGAACAGTGGGCTTA